AATTGAAATTATTTTTGGGAAATCTGTTAATAAAGTAACTAAAGGTTAAAATTCAAGGTCTCATTTTTTATATAAATATGTAAATTAATTAATTTACATTAAGCTTATAAGAAGCGAAGGTTTTTTTAGGATTGAATATGGCGGCTTCAAAATGGTCTCCAAAACTTAAAGGTCATTTTCAAAATAACTTTGGAAAATATAAGTTTACTTTCTAAATTTATATTAGTATTGAATTTTTATACTAATTCAATCGGTACATTCAGTTTCAACCAATGAATCAGTTAATTCTTGCAAAATTGATGATTGCAAATTATTTTAAGGTTACGTTCGTCTTATTTTTATCTTCTTTAAAAGTAACTGTTAATAAAAGCTGATTTTAGTTTTATATATGAAACTAAAATCACTTTTTATTAATTATTCTGAATGTAATAGAGACTTAAACATTAGATATTTATATTAAAAGTCGATCCTCTTTGTATATATTAATATTCCCAAAATTATTAACATAACCTAACATTTTTGCTTTTTATGTATATAACTTTCTTCTGAGTGAGTGCAGCGTGTCACAAATGACACGTTTGGGTTTGGGTCTTTCTCACAGTCCGTGCGTTTTATCTAGTTAATTATATATATATATATATATATATATATTGATTCTATACGCTAGCCTCGGCTGGCTAACTAACTCGGAGGGAAAAGTTAACTATCCAGGGAATCAGGCTTAACACTTAAAACCTAACCCTCTAAGTTTGACTATCCAGTTTTCTCAGTATAATTGAATTAACAAACACTAACTAAATCTGTAGTATTTCACTAACAATGAATTAATTTTTATTAAGAGCAAGTTAAATACTTCTAGTAGTTGTTGTTAATGTTGGTTAAGGTTATAGTTGAATTAGTAAAAGTAGTAGAAAACTACTAATTAAATAGTAAAACCGTGAATCAATCGGTTCTATTATAATTGAGGGTTCACGTGCAATAAGGGGATACGCATGGAAGTGAAAGTCCCCGCGTATAGCGATTCTGCGGCTGCGCGAGAGTAGGACATCGAATAGCCTGCGCGTCCCCTTATTGCACGTGAACCCTCAATTATAGTAACTAAAATATTTGACAGACATATATCTACTAATTTTAAAATCATTTAACATATAACAAAAATTATATTAACTAATGAATTAGTCATTTTTGTCTAAAAATTAATCAGTACTGTTACTAATTCATGTAATAAACGAATCAGTCCTATTTCATAAGTCAAAAGAGCACGACTAATTTGAATTAGTTAGAAAGTTACTAAATAAAATGACGAAACGTCATCCACCAAATAATTTATATTAATTATTTTCCTAGCAATCACTGAAATTTACTAATTGTTAATAGAATTTTACTAACAATTAGTAGATCTTCTTTATTAATAGACGATAAAAGAGTTTCACTACTTCATTTATTTAAATATAAATGACTAGCAATTGGTGAAATTCTAGAAAGAATTCCACTAAGAATTATTAAAATTTTACTAAAAATTAATCATATTTTACTAGTCAGAAAAGGGAAGAGTCGTTATTGAAATTGAGGGCGTGGAACGGATAACTGCCTGTAACGCATGGTCGAAAGGGACTATACCAGTCAGACATCAGTGAGCGCCTCTAGGCCTTTCACTGATGTCTGACTGGTATATATAGTCCCTTTCGACCATGCGTTACAGGCAGTTATCCGTTCCACGCCCTCAATTACTAAAAATTGGTCAAATTTGACTATTTGTTAGTAAAATTTTTACTAATTTAGATTTGGAGAGCATTTAAAGAAGGTAAAAAAATAGTCAAAGGTCTAAAATATTTTCTAAATCTGAAAAAGTAATTAATTTAAGATTTAAGCTAGCTTACGGCAAGCTTGCAAAATTTGTAGTTCAAACTATAAGTTTGTAGGCCAAGCTTGCAAAATTTCCAAATCGAGCTTTCTGCAAATATTAAAATGTCCTCATTATGTTAAAGCATGTAAGCTTGTTCTACAAACTTTTACAAGAAGCTCACCGCAAGCTTGGTGACTATAAGATTGTTTTGCAAGCTTGAAAAATTTCCAGTGCGAGATTTTTGCAAGTATTAAAATGGCTTCATAAGTTCATAGTATATAAACTTGTCCTACAAACTTAATAAAATCGTTTGCGGTAAGCTTGTTTATAGTAACTTTGTAGGACAAGCTTTCAGTTTTCAGCAAGCTTGCGTGTCTTCATAACTTCACAGCATGTAAGCTTGTCATAAAAACTTACTCAACAAGCTTGCCGCAAGCTTGATGACTACACTGTAAAAACAAAGTCTTCCTTTAAGCCCGAAATTTGTCTTCTTTCTAGGTGTAAACGGAAGTAGACCATGTTGGCTGAATGTCAGTATAATGATTAGAAGTTTAAAAAGAATACTCCCCAATTGATACAAGTAAGGTGTTAAATGAACTGAAATTCAACTGTAAGCTAGTAAGAAGGCTAAAATTTAGCCAAACCATCTATACTGCGTTCCACGAGAGAATGCTTTCTGACGCGCAGTTTTTTTTTCTTAAAGGGTGGAGAAAAATTTAAAAATGGTGTTTTCCGAAAATTTTGTAACCAATGAAAATCATGCCTGCTAACTGAACACCTACATTTCAAACCTCTGAAGATCAATTCTTTCCCGACACGTGTTCTAGCAACCCATGTTTATGACGGTACTCATAAAAGAAAAAAATAGAGGCTATAAAATATTCAAAATATTTAAATATTACAATTAATGAATTTCCATTAACAAATTTGGAATCTATCAGTTTTGCTGATTCCATTGATATTTAATTTTTGTTTCTAAACATAAAATTAAAAATTTTTTATTTTAAATTATATTACAAATGAGAACTCCAAATTTTTTTCAAAATATTTTTTTAAAATTTATTAATCATTTAAAATATATTAGATTGAACTATGTGATTTCGACAGTGAAATTAGCTCTCAATAAAAATTGTTAAGATTTATTACTTTGCAGATCGACAATAGAAAATATTCAATTTCATAGTTGAAAAAAAATTATATATCATTTGAATCGGCAGAATTAATAGATTACAAATATATTATTAAAAATTTATTAATTGTAATATTTAAACATTTTTAATATTTTATTGCCTCTATTTTTTTCATTTATTACCACTGTCATAAACGTGGGTCGTCGAGACATGTGTCGGCCGAGAGTTAAACTTGAGTCGGGGGATTTAAATTATGGAAAAAGGCTTGGCCACAATTTTTTTTTGGAAAATGGGCCGTCTAAATTTCAAAATTTAGCGAATAGTGACAATTTCTCTAATATCTGCGCGAAGTGGACGAAAACTCGTCCTTTTACGACAGCATTCTCTCGTGGAACAGGGTATAGCTAAATTTCAGCCTTCTTACAAGCTTACAGTTGAATTTCAGTTTATTTAACACCTTACTTGTATCAATTGGGGAGTCTTCCGTTTACACCTTCGTTTTACAGTATATGTTCATCTTGAATTTTATTAAAATTAACATATGTCACATTTAATTTCTTATAACAAACAACAATTATTATTAAAACTATCAGTGGAAATTTCTCTCTTTAAGATAAAGAATTAAATGCTAATGCACTCTCTAAATCTGAATCAGCGAAATTTCACTGATTCTCAGCGATAAGTATGCCACTATTTCAATTAGCGTATATGCGCTAATTAATCAGTGAAGTTTCACTGATTATTTAGTGAAATTTCACTAATTCACAGCGCATATACGCTAATTGAAATAGTGGCATACTTATCGCTGAGAATCAGTGAAATTTCGCTGATTCAGATTTAGAGAGCACATATATATTAGGTGAAATTAAGATTATAAAATGTTTATAAACTTGTTTATAATCGAATTAAAATATTAACATACTAATAAAACTAAACTTTCTGTCTAAGATTCACCAATTATAAATATAATTTATGGACTTATATATTATTAATAAAACACGAGTCAAAAGTAAACCGACAAACCGGCGACGCGACGCGCTATTCAGACTTTTCACGTTTGCAAATTGCGTCCCTTGTGACGTCACAATCAACTGTTTCAGCCTCGCCAGACTTACAGTCAGCTGTTAGCGTACCTTATTAGAAGTTAATTTCATCTAACTTTTTATTAATACCATTGGATCTGAAATTAAGTCCGGTGTATTACAAATAAATTACAAACTGAGTTTTATTTAAGTAAGAGTACAACTAACTTTAATTTTCAGTTAGTTTTTATGATTAAATAAAGTTGATAGCTTAAGATAAGTCAAAAATTAAAACTAGCCACCATTAAATTTAAGACTTTGTTTTTACTGTGTATAAGATTGTAGGACAAGCTATAGAAAAATTTCTAGTGCAAGCTTTCCGTAAGTGTTAAAATGTCCTCATAAGTAGCTTGTAAGCTAGCACAGCAAGCTTTCAGGTCAAGCTTGCAGTAAGCTTACATTCTGTGGAGTTCTGAGGACATTTTGCTACTTGTAGCAAACTTCTGGGTAAAGCTTATAATTTGAACCTTATCGATCATTATCATCAAAATTTGATTTAAAAAAAGAAATAAACTTCTCCAAAATTTACCACAAAAGTTATTTGAGAAATGAAATGCAATTTGCAAAATAATCAACATAATCATGTGAGAATATCAAGAAACTGGCGTAGAGATATGTACAAGTTTTTGGTGGAAGGGCAAGTGATGAAAACGTGATGTGGCGAACGCGGGCGATGCGACGGTTACAAAAGGGGGATGAGGGAGTGGGATTTTGCACAAGTTGACACGTCGTTGTTCGGGTCGAGTGTCGGCTGGGCGCGAACAACGACCGCCAGGACACCGTGTCGTGGCCGTCGACGAGGACGGAAGTCTAGGAATACTGGTGGTGGTAGTGGTGATGACGTTGGTGGTGGGGCTAAACCCCCGGATAGTCAGTCAGTGGTGGGGCAAAGCGACCAGCCTGCCACACTGCTTTTGCCACGAACTCAGCACTGATCAGTTGCGATTCGGAGTCCATAACGTCGACTTCGTATTGCTTTTCTACAAAAATTCATTATAATTTTCACGTCATACAAATGTCACTGTTTGGAAATTTACAGTACACTTAATGAGAACCATAAGTTAATTTTTTTCAAGAAAAAACAAAAATAGTGTTGTGTTTCTAAAAATTTATTTAGTGTCCTTAGTGTGCTCCAAGGATATATATGAGTTTTCAGTGTGTAAAACGTTTTTTTACTGGATAATAAGTTCTTGAGTTGAATTTTGTGCATTGTGTGCGTGATAAAAAGTGACACAAATCTGGAGTAATATTACAAAAAAAATCTCAAAATGCTGACTTCTAGCGCAAATCAGTATCTTCGTCCAGAATATCTCACACCTCTACCCACGACAGTGAGTTTTATTGGATAATTTTACAATTTTTACTGTAAACTATTTTTCGATATTTCGCATTGTTAATTCCGATATCTTCAACAAAAAAAATGCTTTTTTGATGGAAAAGTCCAAGATTAGAATAAAAAAAACCAATTTTTCACTCTTCTGCTTCAACTATTAACAAAAAAGAAGCAGAAAACAAATAAAAGAAAAAATGTATTTCTTTCCCAGACACATTAGAATTCAGGATGCGAAATATATCTTGTCTTGTGAAATTGACAAAAGAATATATTGACACTCATCTCTCGTAAAATGGAGAACATTTTCCTATATCTATATAGAAGAATTGAGAATATAAAGAGACACACTTTCAAATTCCAAGCTATACAGAAAACATGCTGCAATAATGTTTTATGTTCGAATCCCGCGTCTAAACGGTGTTCACCTTCTTTTTTTCTTCTCGCAATGCTTCATTAATATTGCATGACAGCGCTCCGTCAATGTCGAACCGAATTGCATTTTCTCTTTTATCCTGTAACTCCTGTAAAACTATTTTTGGGGACAGTGAGTGCTGGCAAGCTTTCGGCTCGCATGCTCTGATTTATGTATGGCATAAATCAAGCGCAGCTCACAAGCGAAACAATGCATATTTTTGTATGCTACTAACGTACTTAATGCGCGACCTAAAAATAAATTAGCTGAACAATTTCTTTTAAATACAAAACATTAAAATTCTTAAAATCCATTGAAAATCAGCTAAAGCACAATTGAAATGACAAATACGTGACAGGAGGTGAATAATTTTGGTTTATGAGTTAAAATTGGGACAAAATATAAGAAAATCGTTAGTGTATAATTTGACAGTCCGTCTACAACATGATTTGTACTCCAAAAATTAGGAACTTTTTAAAAATTAGAAATTCTAACGTAATATTATTATCATAGTTCAATTTAAATATAATTTTGATTGCTTAATGTTCGAAACTTTGGGACAATTTGAATGTTACGAAAAAAAACCTTAAATAATTTGACAGTCTGCCTACATCTTTATGCTCCAAAAATTAGGAACTTTTGTGACGTAAGATAAGATTTGGATTTAAGTATGAATAACAAATTTCGTTTATCTATTGCTTAAAACTTTGGGAACATTTTAATGTAACGAAAAATAAATCCGCTTTTGAGTAAATATTCGTTTTAGGGCAGTTGGAGCAAATAGAAACACCATGGGGCAAAGGTGCTTAAAAGACTACCGGTATTGGAATTTCGAAACTATCCACTTGTTTTTATAATTAGTACTCTATACTGTAAAAATCAAGTCTTAAAGTACTTACAGCGACTTTTGACTAAAACCATTTTTATCTAAATTTGAAATGATTCTCGAATCTCAAATTGTCTTATTTTTAAAATTAGGTCATTTTTCCTCATATTTTTCTGTTTTAAGATGTAAACCGTTTCAGATTTTGCATCCTTTCGTGCAGATTAGATTTAAAAAAGCCTATTTTTATACTTAAAAATAGGGTATGATTTTTAATTATTCCGATTAAAAAATGTACTTAAACGTTTTTAGATTTTAGTTTTCCTCTGCAATCAAAATTCTTGAAAATAATTGCAATTAGAATACCAGAAAGACTCCTTGGGTATCCGACCCCTTTTAAATTAGGTTTTTCTATTACATAAATTGGTACCTACTTCTATTGTATCGTCATCCCTCATTAAATAAACGTTTAAAACTTGTTGGATAAAATATGACGTGTCAAAATCAATACTCGTTTATGGTTTCAAGCTAGAGTCACGCAATATCGTCATAAATTTTCATTTTCTGTAACTCACATAAGACTCGCTTCAATTTCATAAATACTAATTCTAATGTAATGTTTACTTATCCAACATTTTCTATTGAAAATGAACTTCTTTTCATATGAAAACTGTAACATTTATTTTTCTACACGGAGAAAACGAATATTCGATCGAAGTACTTTTTTGTAAAAATTAGTCAAATTTACTACAAACTTAGCAAAAATTCACTTTAAAAATTGTAAAATTTGACAAAAATTTGCAGAAGTACCAGGCAGTTTTGGTTTTATTTTATAAATAGTATTTACATATTTTATAATTACTATTTAAATTTAAATTTACAGTAAATTTTCATTAATTTAAACGGGAAAATATATTTATTTTATCATTTCTGATGTTCATAAAAATATAATAGTTTTTTTTGTTTTATACGGTTAAATAAAGTTTTTTTCCTGTTCACCATATATAAGAATCGAATAATAAAAATAGTTTCTACTTTTTTTGTATAATAAATATTAAATGGTGGTGAATTAATAAGAATAAGTTTCTGTTTCGAGAAGGCGAAATTGAATATTATTTTTGCTATTTCTCCCCCTCTCTTGTGTTTTCTCTCTTTGCAGATCGATCACAACTAAAGTTCACTGTAAGACAGTGTATATCTAATTTATTTATCTGTGCATTTCATTTCTATTTATGCATGAGAAATTCTAATAGTGCACATACAGTCTATATACACTGTATACATATATGAGTACACTGTCATTGCAATCGATTTTGATGCCTCATCGCTCCCTTCAACACTTTTCAAAAATATTTTCATTTTCTCTCTTTTAAAATTATTTTCCGTTTATATTTGAAAAAAAATTACGTACAATTCGAATAGAAAGTAAAAATTCAATTTTTTTCGCTATAGGTACCTTATTTTTTGATCAAAATTTCAAATTGGAAAATTTTTTTTATTTTTGTTGAATTTGAAAATCTGAAAAGTATAGATAAATTTTAAATATAGAAATACGTGCTGAGAATTGAAGATAACAATAGTATATATGAATTATATGGAGGAAAGTTTGATAAAGTGAAATGATTGATTATGATGCTTTTTCAAATGTCTTTTCCGGTTCAAATGAAAAGGTCAAACTCATATTTTTATCTTTGAGAAACCAAACAAGTTAACAGCTTGTTTCTTCTTGTTTACTGTTTACTTATTTTACTCTGCCAATACTGATAGTTAAAAAATTTTTACGTAAATAATATTTGCAAAAATGTCGAAATCAATTTCATCAACAAAAGAATTATTTTCATAATAAAAATTACTATATTTTCTTTATCGGGGAAAAATGAATACAAAATAATATATTTCTAATTAACGGATAATGAATTGATATTTATACGAAGCATAAAGATTCATCTCTCGTTTCATGGGAAAATTTATAGTTAAAGACATAAATAAAATGGAAGAGTTTGATTACACACACACACACATATATATATATATATATATATATATATATATATATATATATATATATATATATATGTGAAAAGCGATCACCCACGATGTAAAACATTAGTTCAGTAATATTTGGTAATCATTTGCGCATCGAAAGTTTATAGTCTGTCAACATATAGTGAATACGTTTGGCTCGATCGTTATAACTCCCTGGGTTTGCAAGCCAAGCGAGGCATTAAAACCGAACGTCGACAACGAACAATCGGTAAACGGTGATTAGTTGCATCAGAGAGAGAATGAATTGCCATCCCGGGAGAATCAGTTAAACGAAATATCGTGTTGTACTAAATGTTCATATTGCCACGATTCGTTATTACTGGCAGTGCTATTACGCCCGCGCGTAGAAAATATAATTAGCAGTAAATTTTCGAGGCCTCATATATCAGCGGTGTCAACTGTACACACACACACCCCACATACATAAATATACTCTATACAGATATAATCAGCCACATGATTCCTTTGATGTTCCACCGAAAGTATTCCAAACACTGATTTCAAAATATTTTCTTTTCAATTACACTTCCCGGAAGTCATCATTCTTAATGCATCATTAAGAATTCATTGGTATTATTAATTAAAACAGACAATTTCGAATTATTTATTGCTCCTTCTAAGATTTATATTTGATCATCTTCCTTCTAACAACTGAAAGACCATTAATCGATGTCTCTTTCAACTATGTTTGGAAACGAATTATATTTCAGCTATGGTAGTCGCTGCTTTTGAAACTGATGTCAGATATGAAAAATCCAAAATGTCGGATCCAATATGGATCCAATAATACCGCAATCGATGATTTTAAAAATTATCTGAGTTTGACTAAAATTTGTTAGTTGGAGGTGTTTACTGTTGCTAAATTAAAAAAAGTCTAGGCCACCATTTTAGTTTTTATTACCTTACAATAAATTCGGATTCCTTAACCCCAAAAACCTCAAAGTAAACATTTTTGGACAAATGAGTAAATTAAAAAAATTTTTGTCGCCATATTGGATTCGCCACTTTAAATTTTTTAAATCTGGCATTAAATTCATGGACTCCAATAACCCCCGAGTTTACATTTTTCGACAACTACGATAATTTTCATAAATTTCGTCGCCATATTTGATCCGACATTTAAAATTTTTAAAATCTGACATTAAATTCGGATTCAGTGGCCCTAAAAATTGCGGAGTATACATTTTTGGTCAAATTCGTTAATTTCTAAAAACTTTAGTGGACATATTGGATCCGTCATCTTGAATTTTTAAAATTTGACAGTAAATTCGGATTCAGTGATCCCAATTACCCTCAACTTCACATTTTTGGACAACTACGTTAATTTTCATTTTTGGTCGTCATATTGGATTCGCCGCTTTGAATTTTTAAAATCTTACCTTAATCGGGCTTCAGTAATCTTAAAAATGGCAAAAACAAATTTTGTTGGAAACTTTTTTTTGAACGTTTTTGGGCCCAAAAACGACTTTTTCGCCAGACTAGAAACAAAATAATAAATTGTACTTTGAAATAATAATTTTTTTTCTATACATTGCTTTTCGAAAACAATTAGTGATTATAGTATATTTAAAAGAAATAAATATTTTGAAATCGCAGTTGCAATTGGAATTTATTTGATAATATATATATGTTTCATATATATTGGGAAACCAAGTGGTTTTTACAAGATATTAAACAACTCGCAAAAGAAGTTGGAAACATTGAAATTGATTGTACAGGGAAATAATTCATATTTCGCCATGCGTAAACGTCGATAGACGTCTGTGTAAATTGACTTCTCGAGCATAATAGGTCTTGAAAGTTTCTCAGGGCACTTTACTGGTTTCTCCTTTCTACTTGGATAAATCACTATTATTATCTTCATCAGTTTCTGATTGAACAACTATAGAAGCTGGAATTAATCTCGGAAATTAAACTACTTTGCATTATTTAGTAATTCGTTATTTTACGATTCATTCTATATAAAAGACGTATGGTAAATTTGTCTTGAGTTGAAATTTATAAAAAATACAAGTTTAGTTTTTAATTTCGTTTTTGGATTTTTTTACGTTATCTAATTAAAATTAAATTTCTTCTGCTAACAATCGTTCTAGTCAGAAATTGTCAGATTGGAAATTATCAGACTATAGGTTCTATTGAAGAGTGAGGAGGATTAAGGGAGAGACACCTATGACTCATTTCTCGGAAAGCTATTATAGTAAGTAAATTGCGTGTAATAAAATTGTGCAGGACAAGAGAGAGAAAAAAATACGAATTCATAGAAATTATGGACTGTGATGATCCGTGTAATTTGTAATCTTCGATCGTGGTTGGCAGTACAAGACCATTTCCATGAGATAGAAATCGACAATATACCCAAAAGGCACGAAGAAGAGTGACGTTTGTCAACGGGGCATAATGTACACTCGCGTTTATTCCGTTTCGAGATTTTATCGCTTATACTTGATGCACGCATCGTAAACCTCGCTCCATTTCCAAGGCTCTGTCGGGCGGTTTAACGGCCTCGTAGAACACGTCGATGGGACGCAAAAGTTTCGCAAGCAATTTCACAAGACCTTAGACTCCCTATCTTTCTTGATGCGACCGGTAAATATTATTTCTTTGATCAGTTTATCCAGATGATGCGTCAACCTACTGCGATAGCGTTACTTGACAGAAGGAAAAATGTAATCAGTCACTTGAAATAATCTCCCTTTTGTCATCACAGGACTGAATAAATATTTACCTTTCTTTTGAAATTAGGAATAATAACTCTTTGTGAATCTTTGTGTTTCGTTTAGTAATGGAATTTTTTTGTTCTGTTTCAGTTGGATGCAAAGAAGAGTCCACTGGCTCTGCTGGCCCAGACGTGCAGTCAAATAGGGGCCGATCCACCATCGAGTAAATCGCTGTTGACCCCTTTGGATAAGAGTAAATCATCCAAGTCGGAGTCTAGGGAGAAGTCGTCCCCAGCCACTGGAGTGGCAACGGACTCCTTGAAATCTAGTTTTAAACCCTATGAATCATGTTTGGGGCGGGAGAAGGCGTCGAGCCCGGAGGAGCAAAGGGCGGCATCGAGTCATTCAGCGTCCGGAAGGGCCAGAACCCCGGCGAACAGTAAACGATGCTCGAGTAACCAAAGTGCTTCGTCGGCAAGGGCAGCGACACCGCAGGGTCGCAAAACGGCAACGCCAAATGGTGACTCAAGGGATTCGCCATCCTCGAGGACAGCAATATCCGTCACGTCAGATCCGTGTCTAACGCAGACATCATCAGCCAGCCCCTCTTTGCAACCCAAATCCTCCTACAGTCCTGCTGGGATGCTAGCCATGACGGATCCCTCCATCAAGGACCTACCTCTCGGTACCTTCAAGGCTGGCTCGACTCTACCGATTTCCACCTCCGCCTACCTCGGCTATCACTCGCAACTACCCATCGACGTGATGGCCAGTTCCCTCATGTCCCAACATCACGCAGCGGCTCTCAAAAACGGCCTAGCAACCAATCCCTACCTCAGCTACGCCCGAATGAAGACATCGTCCGGCGCCGACACCCTGGTACCAGTTTGCAGAGATCCCTACTGCACCGGCTGTCAATTCAATTCCCACTTCTTAGCCACATCAACCGCAAACAAGATACCCACATCCACCGCCGGTGGTGGTTCCTGTCCAGCCGGATGCACTCAATGTGACCACAAATCCACAGCCTCACCTTACGGACCACTGGGACACACTCCTGCAGCCGCTGCCTATGCCCACGCGCAATTAGCAGCACTCGCCGCGGCCTCACAACTTCCCTACGTCTGCAGTTGGATGGCCGGCGACACTGCATACTGCGGCAAGAGGTTCGCCACTTCTGAGGAATTGCTGCAACATCTCAGGAGTCATACCAGTATATCTGGCGATCCAAGTGCCGCAGCCGCAGCACTCTCACTCCTCACACCAACGGGTCTGCCTCCCACACATCCTCTACTATCGAGGTCGTATCCAACGCCACCGCTAAGCCCTCTGGCCACAGCGCGTTATCATCCCTACGGAAAGCCTTCAAATCTTCTCCCATCGTCACTTTCGTCGTTAAATCTACCTCTACCACCTCATCATCACCCAGCAGCCGGACTGCCACCCTATTTCTCCCCCTACTCTCTCTACGGTGGACCCCGTTTAGGCGCCACTTCCGGAATGCATCCTTAAAGTGCGCCTATCCGAACAAAACTCCCGATTTTCGATATGCTTTATCCATAAATTGTGACCTAGTGGCTAGTGCATTTTTCGAATCAGTGCCTGAGTTCGACTCGTTCTACAATGAAGGATATAGTTCACAAGGAATAAAGCATAACTTTTTGGAAGTTTTGTCAGGAATAGGCTGAAACCAACTTGCGAGTTTTTAACTGTGATTTCCGAGTGTGAACGCTTCTTTTCCTCACATTGTTTATTTGAAAGATGACTTTTGAGAAAATCATAGGAGCGAAAAGAAACGAGCGTGCCTGATGATAAATCTAATTAATGTTCCAGCGGATATGAAAAAAAGCTCGAGCGAAATATAAAATTGGAAGATCATTCGGACTGATCGACTATTCTTGAGATTACAAATTTAAAAAAAAATCATTGTGATTGCTTATTTATACACAGCTTTTCTGAATTAAAATTCATTTTCCAATTTTTACACGCAGTTAAAAATGTTATTACTAAAAATGTTCAGGCAAAGTATTTTCATCTATTTTCGATATTTATTTCATTGTAAATTCTTATTCCGCTGCTACATTTCAATGATAACAATGCGGTGACAGTATAACTACTCTTTATCTGACAATTTATTGATGACTTTTGCACTGGAGCGGCTTCGCTCATGATTCACGAGCGATCAAACTTAAGACTATATGTTGTTTAAAAAAATAAACACTGCAATCATTTTTCGAAACAAAAATTGTGTTATAGCCTACACTAAAAATTTAATAGTAGATATTATTAGCAATATTTTCATTCCTACACGCAGATGTATTTCATGAATCTTTTCCGATATTTCACACTTCTGACAATCTAAATTATTCTACACGAACTGAAAAATAATAATTAAATACTAACTAGAAAATAAAAAATCAAATATCAACTGAAAAAAAATTCGAAATAAATTTGAGGTTGTTTTAATAAAGATTTATGAAATTGTTCTGCTTTAAAATGTGCGATAAGCAATTAATCGTTTTTATGTGTAATAAGAGTAGAAGTCACCTGTATGTCAGTCAAGAAGCACATCAACGTCAAAGAAAACACTAAAATGTCTTTTATAGAAAGTTAAGAGAACTTTGCCATCCATTGATTTACAGTCAACATTGGCCCAGTTTAGTTTCTCGTTGATATATTATTTACGCAAGTCTACTGATGTGATATTGAGAAAATTAAACGAGTTCATCAAAGTGAATTGTATGTTTGACGAAGGAGTGTTTAGACATATTTGTCACTTTTCATGTACTTTATATCCGATCTATCAAAGTGTACATGGAAATTTTTTCAATCTGAAATCAGCATATGATTACTGATTAATCAATTGTTTAACAATGAGTAAACATAAATACTTAATTCCAGTCAGGAACCAAATTTTTTTAACATTCGTTTTATAATTTCTATCTTCACTTTAACAAAATTATTTTCTACAATAGAATTAAAATTTAAAATAGAATTTAAAATACAATTTCAATCAGTTTGACAACATTCGAAACAATTCGACTACACGACTGAAATTAAGTATTTAATTTTAATATAGAAATGTCTTTTGCCAATTCACAATTAAATTATCAGTTTCTATTTATGCTACATTCACATATATTGTATGGAGAGTATTTTTTTCTTCTTATGATTCGCCGAATGATCGCTGTGAATATACATTTCGATCGATCTCGACCTCATTTACAAAAAAAATAAATAAAAAAATCGGGGTAATCATTTTGCGATTGATCTGATGAAATCAGTCTTGTGTCCATTCTATTTATATGAGTTACGTGTTCATATCTAAACTCTAATGTAATTAATGTAAATTTGTTCATAAACGTATATATGCCCGACATTATAAGAGGCAAAGTGCTAACGATATAATTGATCGTCTATTTTTGCGTAACCAAAGTTTTAGTATCGGATTCGTTAGATATCTAACGAGGCGATAGCATAAAAAAAGTGTACATGACGTTCTACAATTAAAGAAAATAATTAAAAAAAAAGGAATCGGGAAAATTTGAAGATGACACGACGTTGATTTTAAGAAACGCGTCGTTTATAAAGAAAAGAACGGAATGACAACTATATTAGGCAATAAGAACATATAATATCGACTGTACATAGATTTATTCGATATAGTAATTATTATTATATTATTACATTATTATTATATTATTATTAATAATATTATTATTAATATTATTATGTTTAATGTTATTCTTCTGGGCGTTGTAAATGCCGATGTCTCTTGCTCACAAAGATCTGTTTTTTTCATTTAGTACCTCCGTTTTTTCATTATGTGATTAGTAATATTTGCAGATAATTGAATTTTTTTCAAATAAGATTCATATGTGACACACATCCACACACACAGACACTGAATTCTCGTTGTTTTATTATTGTTGTTACGTTATTATAGAACTTGTTTGAGTCTCTCTGAAAGTGAAATACAACAAATCGTTTCTTACTCGAAATAATGATGCTTTATTGTATTGTAACCTTTGTTCCTAAATTCCAATTTTCCTATATTTCTTATCGCCACCTTTTTAAATTCTAATTCACGCTTCGATTAAAAAAAAGAATTTTTTACCACGAAGGACAAATATTTTAAATGCAATTATTTTTCTGATAAAATTTATTATAATTTTTAATTTATAATTACAAAAAACAAATTTTGATATCTCGATCAATTAACAAGAAACTGTTCTTGTGAATCATGATTGATATTTGACTTCTAATATTACTTTTAATATTTAATATTATTATACCTTTAAATTTTATATGAAAAGACAAGTGAATGATGAAATAATAGTCAAAAATTTATTACAATTGAAGTGGAGAAAAAAATATTAATGTCTGGTAAGTCTATACGGGTCACTCATCGGTTTTATTTCTCTCAAAAAGAAGCAATCGATTTGACCGAAATAAAATAACTTTTACATATTAAATTTCATAAATTAATCACAAAAATTAAATTCAAATTACTTTTAACAAATTTAACTTTTTTCAATATATGTTCGAACTTAAATTTGATCTGGTTATAAAAGTGACATATCACTTTTTTAATTATTTAATCGTCTGGGTTATTTCTATTTTTGTTATAAAGTTTTCAAAATAATTTTATGCGATTCAATATATAGATCAGCACTTGCAAAAAAGAAGTCTTACTTACTTTCTTCGAGTCCACTTTTGCGGCTAAAGCATTTACATTAGAACTTATTTTAGAATAAATTTTAACTAAATTTTTTATTTTCAACATGAATATCAGTTACAAATTAATTCCTTAACGCCCCCGGAAAGGGAGGAGAATGTTTTTAGAAACCAAACATGTTCTTAGTGGCTTTTAGGGACGCTGATTACGAATTCGAGGCCAGTTTTTCAAAATTAAAAAAGGCGGATCCAATAAGGCGAACAAATTTTTTTTAATTCATTGAATTAAATTGAAACTATACTCGGAGATTTTTTAGGCCACTGATTACTAATCTGATGTTACATTTTCAAAATTCAAAATGGCGGATTCAATATGGCGGACGACTTTTTAAGAATCTAATTGAAATCGCTTGTAACATTTTTTCGAGAGTTTTTGGGTTTGCTTCAATTTTTTCAACATTACTTTTCGAATTAAAAAAAAAATTAATTTTGTATTCTTTTCGATTTGAAGATCTTTCTGAAGTATATATTTTTATTAATTAGGCCTTTCGTGTTATATTTTGAAACAAAATATAAATTTTTGATCTTGCAAGCTTGGCAAGATTGCAGAAACCTTTTACAGGAAGCTCGCTATACAGTGGACATTTTTTTTCTTTGAAAAGCCATTTGAAACTTAAAAAAACCTTTATTTGGTTCCGCCATTTTGAATTTTGAAAATTTGACTTCAGAATCATAATTAGTAACCCTAAAAACCCCCAAAGGAACATGTTTCAAGCTAGTTCGTTGAGTTTTTAAAAATTCGTCCGCCATATTAAATCCGCCATTTTGAATTTTGCAATTCTGACTTCAAATATGAAATCTTTTACAAAAATAGCTAAATTACACTGTTGTTACCCGAATAAAAATTAAAATCGCCAGTATGTAGGATGTATATTGGTTTGGCCTATCTGGCGACATAGGCCTGCGAGTCAAATCCTACATAATATGTACGTAAGAATGTAACGCTGGCCGTGACTAATTCTACGTACGCCTAACATGGTAGAACCTACGTATCAGTTCTACTGTAGGTCCTACATAGGCCACATGATGTAGGATCTACAAACGCTTGGCTATATCTACTCTATGTATATGGCAGAAGATGTAGAGCCCACGTAGCAGAAGTGTATATGTTCTACGTAGGTCACGCTATATAGAATCTACGTAGTATTTTTCTGTAATATTTACATAGGCCTGACTATGTAGAATGTAAATAGAAATTTTTAATACAGTCTATGTAGGCCAATTGTTATAAGATCTATTATGTAGTGCTTATAAGTACTTTCTACATAGATTTATAATCACGCACAAGATATATAAATGAATTTGAAACTTCTATAATTGTTGCCAAAAAATTTTAAACTGCAATGTTTTCTTTGCAAATAGTAGGAATTATATTCTTATGAATTTATCACTTGGTAAAAATTATATAATTTAAATTAAAAGAAAAATTAAGTAGGGATTTATATTTAAGCTAGTTTAGTATTAACATTACATGCGGGAATTTAATTAATGTAGTTTTAATAAACAAACAGAAACTACAACTGACTTAAGGAATAAAATTAAGACATGATATTCAATTATATATAAGTATATATATAGATTTATTCAGTTTCAGTTATTCAGTCTACCTATTCCTTAACAATTTTAATTATAAATTATTTAAGTAGTTATTATATTCAATTTAATTATAATTATTTCATACACATACATTGTTTTAATTTATTGAATAAATAAAATTAATAATTTTCACAAAATATAATTAAAATATATATATCAGTCCTTTAAAACTTTTTATAACACAAGAACACTTAAACAATTCACTTTACAACAAATTGTTCACTTAAAAATATCCATTTTAATGTAACAATTCACGAAAAAACTCACTTCACAACAAAATATTAACTTCGAAATAATTTTATCACATGCGGTTTTAGACTCTTTCTAACGAATGCTAAAGAGCAACTGACGCTCGAAAGACCTTCGGAAAAAGATTTTACAGAAAATATTTGAAGTTTCTGAACATTTGCTCTGTATATTTCAATCTGAAAAATTTCTAAGTTTTTGTCTAAGTAAATCTATAAGAAAAAAAGAGAAGTGAAAAAGCTATAAAATAGTCCCCCTCTTACAATGAGGAACCCTTAAGATGGTCAACCAAAATAAAACAGATGTGACAAACTCTTGAAAATAAGAAAATACTTTAAATATTTTATATTTTTGCCTTTAGAGAAAAAATATTTACCATTTAAAATAAAATTAACAAATTTCATTTTTTAATTGTTTACAATATAGTTGTTATTATTTGGATTAAAAGTATAAAATAGAATAAGAAACAATATTATATTTTCACTTCTGCTTTTATTAAATACGCACTTGGAAGATGCACGTAATTTTTACTGTTTGCTTGATCGATTAAGACTAAAATGGAAATCAGAGAACCAGAGAAAAGTGACTCACATAAGCCTAATACTACTGCAATAGTCTTTGTTCAAAAATGGTTTACAAAATTTGATAGCCGTCCGCCGTCCTGTCATTTCGTCTCAATATATAAACAGTTTAAAAGAAAAACTTATACGATCTTATATATTACATTTCTAAGAAAGAATGATTTTCGATAAATAATTATTTTATAAAAATTAACAGTTATTTTTAAATAAATTGAAATTTTTAGAATAATATAATATAAAATAATGCTAATCTAGTTATAAAAATATTTCTAACTTTTTGATAGTCAAAATTTTGTAATAAAATTTAGGATAAAAAAATCTTTCATTAACAGACAAATAGCTTGTTTTATTTTATTTTCAATCATTCTTTTCATTTAAAAGTCTTTGTATATCCTATATAAATATTACATCTGTAGACCTACATAGAAAGGCCTGCTCATAACTTATCTCGATATTACGTCGGTTGTCCTGTATATTTCCTACATATGAATGCAGATGAAGATCCTACCTAGATTTAAAAATTAAATGCCTACATAGAAAAGCCTATTTAAAACTTACCTCGACATTACGTTAGGTGGCCTATATCTTTCCTATGTACAAATACTAATGTAGATCCTACATAAATATCATGTATATGGGCCTACATAGAAAGACCTACCTATAACTTACTTCAATACTACGTTGGGTGACCTACATCTGTCAGACATAAGAATGCCGATACAGATCCTACATAGATGCAACAATTATAGGCCTACATAGAAAGACCTACCTAAAACTTACCTCAATACTACGTTGGGCGACCTATATCTGTTAGACATAGGAATGTCGATGTAGATCCAACATAGATTCAGCATTTGTAGGCCTACATAGATATGTCTACACAAAATCTATGTCGACACTACATCGAGAGGTCTATATTAATTGACTATAGAAAGGCCTACGTATATCCTATATAGATACTACATTTTACAGGCCTTCATAGGAAACTCGACGTACACTCTACATAAAATGTACATAACTTGGCCTTCATAGGAGGCCTATTTTAATCCTACACAAACACTACGTAGTAAATACATAGGCCGTACTATTTTTTTACTCGGGTATGAATGTCTGTTTTTAGTTAATTTAATTTAGTTCTCAACCTTTTAAGTTTTATCTGATAATATTCATCGTTATACAAATAAATTGAATATAAATAAAGAATTCACCAGCTTTAAAAACTTCGAATGAGATAATATCTTAGAACCAAATAAAGGTTTTTTTATGTTTCAAAACGCTTTTTAAAGAGGAAGAGAAAGACAAGTACTTTTAGACGAATGTAATAAATTTTTAGGAGAAATATTTTTTATTCATGCAACATGACTGAAAAAGTAGACAAATAGCTTCCACTTTTAGATTAAAATATATCTAAAAAACGAACGAATCCTAAAATTAAATTCCGAATCAGCACATCAAAAACACTCGAATTTTCTGATTCTTAATTCTGTGGTTTGCAAAAATTTTGTCGGCTTACGTTATTAAGAAATTAATTACTAGAATGAAAAATTTTTGTCCACTTGTCTAATTTAGAGGTGTATGAAAAAGAAAAAAAAATTGCAATTACTTTAAGTAAAGTTTGTCCCAAATATAGTGTTCAGATCGTAAAAAATATTATGGCTCGACAATAATTTATTATTTACGATTGCGAACAGCTATTCATTTTGGTTTAGTGTTGGGGGCAAAAGACTTTGGACGCGGCTAAGTTGAAGTTGGGCATTCATGAATACATTATTCTGTCTAACGAGGCGAATAGGTCAAGTGGATGGATTCACTAGCGGCTTGTCCATAAATCAACGAGAGAT